AGGTCTCATTATTTGTGCTAGCGTGTTTGTGGGTACGGTTAGAGCTGGTTCGACACAATACTTATCCATTGCCCTTGATTTAGATTGAGAGGACCGTTCTCTGGGGACTGTGTGTGCTGGTCCCCTTTTATACAGTGAGGACAAATTTATGCTCTCCCTTCGTCCACTTCGGATCCGAAATATTGGTCCGATAGCCTGTTTGTGTTTGGTTGCCTGGCGACAAGTGGATGAGGGCGGGACATTGGCGCCCTACAACGTGCAGATTTTGTGTTTATAGAACACTTTTTGGTGTACCAGCTGTACCCTTTGATGAGACCAGTAATAACCAGTGACATTTTTCCCCTTTTTTTGGAAATTTCATACGTTTTGGATTTTTTGCCCGTTAGAGATTCTTTCTCTTGTTGTCTGATGTTGTATTTGTCCAGTGTTGCATGCTTTGTGTGTGAGTTGAATTTTGTATTATTGTCTGGCAATTGTGGTCACAGTATTGAAGTTTGCCAGTATTTGAGTCATTGTCGAGACGTATCTGTGGTACATGTGCAGGAGTATTAACGTAATTGAATGTGAGTACATTCTTATACACAGTAAGATATGGAAATGCGTACAGGGGCTGCTGTTTCCGGTGAGACTGGCGATTCACCCAGTGTGGCAAATACTGGGACACCCACCCGTGGTGCCCTGGATCTCAGTCAAGGTAGGGGAGCAGCAGCGAGGGGTCGCATTTTTCCTGCGTCAGCGCCAGTAGGGCAACGCCAGATGTTGGGTAGAGGTCGTGGCGTTTTGCCATTGGATTTCGGTCGGGACTCCCTTCCCAGTGGCCGTGGTGAGCACCGACATGCTCGAGGCCCTATGGAGAATCGAACTGTGAATCTAAACAATGAAAGCATGTACCGACAGCAAGGTGGTGTACCTGTAGAATTAAGTGATCAAGGTGAGTGTGGACAGAACGTTGATTTGGAATTTAGTTCCCCTGAAGGACGTTCTCGCTTGGGTATGTTACACACACTGCGCATGCCTACATATCTTTCAGCACGACCGAAACTGTCCACAATTTCGGGAGACAGTTCGCGGGCTAAATCGGATGCCGACTTTGAAACATGGTCGCAGGAAGTGCTTGCATACAGTGATTCTGGAATCGAACCGCCGTCGGTCGTTATCCAGACTGTTAGATCCATGTTGAGGGGCACTGCAAATAAACTTGTGATAAGAATGAGGCCGGACGCTTCAGTTGATGATATATTAGAGATGTTAAGAATCCGCTTCAGAGAAGTGGAATCTGGTCGCGTTTTGCTCAACAGATTTTTCGCTGACTGTGGGCAGCGAGAAAACGAGACTGTTGGCGAGTTTGCCACGCGTATCGAGCTAGCGTTAGAAGCTGTAAGACGTCGTGGTGGTATACGCCCAGAGGAAATGGACGAGCTTCTAGCCATCGTTTCTGGGATGGATTGAACGAT